TATCTCGTAGAGTCTACCCAGTAGAGATATGAGTAATTTTTGTTCAGTAGAAAAATTAAAGACAAAATTTATTGGTTTTCATTGCTTTGTATAACTAATCTAGCAATTTTATTCTAAAATTTCTTCTTAAATACCTATAATATCGTCCAGTTCCTCAAAATGTTCTTTGAATCTGTTTGACCCTAGATTTGTATAAGACTCATGTTTTTAATTTTTTGAACATTTTACTCTGGCTGTTTCTGACATGTTGGAAGTCAGAGCTATACCTTAGGCAGGAAAATGAAAGTATTCCCTAAGAAATTTGACCAGCCAAAAAGGAAACACCTGACATCCACTTTCCCCACAAATGAATTTAGGACAACCACACATTGTATCATACAAAACAGGACTTTAAAAAATAGTCTTGTAACTTTTTTATTGAAGTAACATTGGTTTACAACAAACATATTATTTAGGGGAATACCCGCCTCCGAAGTAGCCATAAACCTCCACTGTAAACCATTCGACCTCTTCCCTTTTTTGTTTCCCAAACTCTCCCCTTCTAGTAGCCTCAATTCTGCAGTCATATTTGTGGGATTTGTTTTGAATTAGCTTTATCTTTTCCTTTGTTTTATTTCTTTACATTCACAGGTGAGTGAAGTCATTCAATATTTGCCTATCTCCTTCTTGTGCATTTCACTAAGCATAATCTCCAGTTCCATCCAAATGTGAAGATTTCATCTCTTTTTATAGCTGAGTTTTATAGCTGGATTCCATTGTATATCTATATAACATCTTTTTAATCCATTCATCTGTATCTGAGCACTTAGGTTTTCTCTATACCAGGGCTATTGTAAATAGTGCTACAGTGAACATAGGAGAACGTATATTCCTTTGAATTAGTGTTTTCCCATTTTGGGGAAGATATCTAAGTGGAATCGCTGGGTTGTATGGTTGATCTATTTTTAATATTTTGATAAACCTCCATACAGTTTTCCACAGGGGCTAGACCAATCTTCGTTCCCACCAACAGTGTAAGAGGGTTCCTTTTTCTCCACATCCTTGACAGAAATAGAAATAGTTAAAGGCAACTTGGAGGAAACAGTCTATACAAAGAAAAAATATTACCTGGATTCAAATCCTAGCTTTTTCATTTACTGCTTGTATGACTGTAAGTTGCTTCGACCTCCCTGATCCTTAGCTTCATCAACTGTAACATAGTATATATCATGAAAAAGCAGAATCCAAAGGTACTGGGAGAAATTTTGCATTCTCCCTAAACCTCCTCTGCCCAATATCTTATACAGTGGTAACAGTCAATAAACCTGTCCTTTGTCCATGTGAAATTCAAAGGTCAGCAGGCAAAGTTCTTTAGACTATGAAAAGCCAAAGCATCATTCTGTGTCCTTGAGTGGTTGTGAGTAACCCAAAGGAATCTCTACCTGGGTCAGGCTGTAATCGTTATTTCTTCTTTTTTTTCTTTTTTAAAAAGATTGATTTATTTATGCATACAAGAGCTGGGATACAGGCCAAAGGTGTGGGGGGATGAGAGGATTCACCAGAGACACAGTGTGGAGCAGAACAGGCAGACTGACTGAAATACACTGCTGAGGGGAGCAGTGGGCAAGTCAGGAGAGGTCTGCTGCGCCAAGTGGGTTGCTCCCTGGCCGGGGATCGAAGTCATGCTGCAGAGGCTGCGGACCCCTTCATAGGTTGTGTCTTAACCCCTTGTGCCACCAGGGAGGCCCTGTAATCATTATTTAATGGGAAAAACACCACTTCCTTTTTTCCCAAGTGCATGACTCACAAGCACTTGGTTTCCAGGTCTCTGACTTCTCTCCTCACACTGTTTTGTTCCTGACAGCTTATTGTGTCTCTGGCACAAAAGAGGCATATTGTCCCAGGTGTTGTCAACCAAGCATGTTTCAGTTGCCCACTCTGATCAGGAAACATGCCAGAGCATTAGTTCTTAACTGTTGAAAATTAATCTGACACTTGTGCACTCTTAGATGGAGACAAATGGACCCTGAATAATTTGGAGAACATTTTCTCAAAGTTTTCAACATATTCCAAGGCTCCTGATTTTTCATTGCTCCTGTAGCCTAAGACAAAGAAGCTAAATGACCAATATTGATGCTTCCAATCCTCTAAAATAATGGCTTCGTGTATGTGCCATGCGATCAGAATGTATTTGCTTATCAAAGTTGAAAATATATTTGGGGGAGCTTGTGTATTCGGATGTGCCTCCAGCTGGGTTTCTGACACTGAATAATGAGCAGCGGTTCAGCTTCTCCTAAGTTGTATCAGATGTTCTGTAGTTAAAAGGAGGGATGGACAAACACAGGAAGCAAACTAAATGAAGGCCAAAGATAATCTAGTATTAACAGTGATGCAGGCCTAGGTCTTAATATTAATGGAATTTCCATTAACAGATTTTTAAAGCAACTCTAATAGGTTCTTAATAGTTTTCTTCTTAATAGAATCTTTAAGCAAGTCTAAATATGAACCTTAATAAACATTGGTCGGGCACATTTCAATAGATAGGTCCTTCCTAAATATGACTCATCCTTAGAAGATGCAGGAGAATGTTGCTTTCTAAGGGTGGGTTTCATTTTGTTATGTAAGGATATTTGCCTCTTTTTTTTTTTTTTTAAAAAAAAAAAGATATTTATGCGTACAAGAGCTAGGATACAGGCTAGAGGTGTGGGACGTGAGCCGATTCACCAGAGACAGAGTGGGGAGCAGAACAGGCACATGACTGAAAATACTGCTGAGGGGAGCAGCGGGTATGACAGGAGAGGTCTGCCACACCATGTGGGTCAGCTCCCTGGCCAGGGATTGAACTCACATTGCAGTGGCTGCAGATAGCTTCATAGTGCTGCATCTTAACGTGTTGCACCACCAGGGAGGCCCATATTTGCCTCTTTTTTAACCCAGTCTCCTGTCAAATCAGGACAAACATGCTAGAAGTGGACATTTAATAACCAAGGGAGAAAAGGGGAATGCTAAAGGAAAACAATTAAGGGAGAAAAATATCCATTATATTGTTCTTTAATATATTTGATGCCAAGACCCAGTTCTGGGTTTTCTACTTTTTTCACTATATATTACTTTCTAGTTTACCTCATCCTCATCCAATCTCATGGCTTTAAATACCATCTCTGTGCTTATGACTCTCAAATTTCATTCTTTTTTTTTTTTTAATCTATGCAAGCACTGAGTACAGTCAGAAGCGCGGGAGGGTGAGAGAACTCACCAGAGACAGAGCTGGGAGCAGAACAGGCAGACTGACGAACACACTGCTGAGGGGAGCAGCGGGTGGGCAGGAGAGGTCTGCGTGCCATGTGGGACCCTCACCAGTGGCCGGGTATCGAACTGGCGCTGCAGAGGCTGCAGGCAGCTTCGCAGCCCAGCGCTCAACTACTGTGCCACCAAGGGAGGCCCTCAAATTTCATTCTTTTAAAATTTATTTTCTTAAGGACTGATCACAAAAATCTGCAAAGAGCTGATGAGACTCAACACAAACAAAGAAAATAATCCAGTCAAAAAATGGGCACAAGAGCTAAAAAGAAACTTCTCTGAAGAGGAAATGCAAATGGCCAACAGGCATATGAAAAAATGTTCAACATCACTTGCAATCAGGGAAATGCAAATCAAAACTACCATGAGATACCATCTTACACCAGTGAGAATGGCACATATTAAAAAAACTAGCAACAACAAATGTTGGCGAGGGTGTGGAGAAAAAGGAACTCTCCTGCACTGTTGGTGGGAGTGCAAACTGGTCCAACCACTATGGAGAGCTGTGTGGAGATTTCTGGACCTACTAAACATAGAGCTTCCATATGATCCAGCAATTCCACTCCTAGGTATTTACCCAAAGGACACAGAAACATCAATTCCAAAGAACACCTGCACCCCTATGTTTATAGCAGCACTATTCACAATAGCTAAGCTTTGGAAACAGCCCAAATGCCCAAAAATAGATGACTGGATCAAGAAGATGTACATATATACCAAGGAATATTACTCAGCATTCAAAAAAGATAAACACATGCAATTTGCAGCAACATGGATGGCGCTGGAAGGGATCATGCTCAGCGAAATAAGCCAGAAAGAAAAAGAAAAATACCGGATGGTCTCACTCATAGCAGGAATCTAGAAAACTTAAATAAGGGACCAGGAAAATGAATAACTATAAGAAAGTGAAAATCAGAATCAACAAAAAAACTATGAACCAGAGATACTTTTTGGGGTGGGGGCGGGAGGGGAGGGATTGGGGTCAGAATGGGGGTTTGCAATTGTATGGGGGAATATAAAAATAACATTTATTATTTTTTAAAAAATTAAAAATAAAATTTATTTTCTTATATCATTGTTCATTTTTGTACAGTATTTGATTTTTCCCAAAGGTTTAGTCCCCGTAGTTCTTCCACCACCATAGCATCCATGAACCATCACCACAGTCCCTTGTGCTCCTCCCTTCTCTGTTTTGACCCCTCTCCCTCCTGTTCCCCTGCTGTGTGCAGGGGATCAATAGTTTGCTGCAAGTTTCATTTTTTTTAAACCTTTGTTCAGTTTCCCTACATTGCTCCTATAAGTGAAATCATTTGCTATTTCTCTCTTTCCTGCTGACTTATTTCACTGAGCATAATCCTTTCAAATTTCTATCTCAGCTTGATCTGAACCCTAGACTCCATTATACAGTTGCCTATTGCATGCACATCTCAACTTGTATGTCCCCAAATCACCTCAAAATGTAAACTCATTGACTTCCTCCACTCTGCTTCTAACTACTAGGTCTCGAACACTATTCTAAGTGCTAGAGATGGAGCATTGAACAGGCTTCTTACTTCTGGTGTTTACATTTTATTGGTAGGGAGTAATAAAAAAACAAATAATTTTAATAGGTGGGTATATATATATATATATATATAAACATATATATATTCAATATATTGAAGCAAAATGAAGTGGATAGAGGAGCTGAAGAGTGACAGGGAAGCTTCTGTCTTTGATAGGGACACCAATTACAGAAGACACGAATGAATAGAAGGAATGAGCCATACAGATATCCAGGAGAATATTTACATGATGGAAACAGCAAGTGCAAGTACCCTGAGGTGAGAATATGCTTGATATGTTTGAGAAAGAAGATAATGACTAGAGAGCCATGGGAAGAAAAGTTTTAGGAAACAGAGTCAGAGAGGTCATCAGGAGCCAGATCATATATAGGTTTGCAACCATGATAAAAATTTGATTTTTGTTCGAAGTATGATGAAAAGTCATTCTAGGGTTCTGAGCAGAAAAGTGACAGTTTGGTTTAGGTTTTAAAAAATTTTCTGGGGGCCTCCCTGGTGGTGTAAGGGGTTAAGACACAACCTATGAAGCTGTCTGTAGCCTCTGCGGCACGAGTTCGATCCCCGGGCCAGGGAGCAACCCACATGGCGTGGCAGACCTCTCCTGTCTCACCCACTGCTCCCCTCAGCAGTGTATTTCAGTCAGTCTGCCTGTTCTGCTCCCGGCTCTGTCTCTGGTGAATCCTCTCACCCCCCCACACCTCTGGCCTGTACCCCAGTTCTTGTATGCATAAATAAATCTTTAAAAAATATATAATAATATTTTTTCTGGTGTGGTGATGAGAATAGACTGTAAGGAGCTAGAGTGGAAGCAGGGAAACCAGTCAGGATGCCACCACAAAAATCCAGGGTGGTGCTGATGGTGGCTTGGACTGGAATGATAGCAGTGGATATAGTAAGTAATGGTTAGATGCAGTATGTATTTTGCAGGTAGAGTCGATGGAATTGACTTTCTAAGGGAATGGCACCGCCACTTGCCACCCAATTTATAAACTGGAAACCTAGGAGTCTTTCTTGACTTTTACTTTACCTGTACATTGCTAGAGTCTGTTGATTCTACTCAGGTGGAGACAAGATAAATAAGCATTTCTGGCAGAAAGAGCAGCATGTTATATGAAGTAAGATAGAAGATCAAATAGATAACAGTATCAAGAAAACAAATTTGAAGAAAAGGAATCTGGTATTAAATAGCACAACATAGAATGATCTCTGACTCCTCCCTCAATCTGAATAATGTTAACCTCATTTCATGCACCCAAGTTGCTTGTTATATTCCATCATGGTGTTACAGGGCAAGGAGAGGGGCACTCCAGACCCCGCAAACCTGCTTGCTCTAAATAGATCTGCCATCTGCCGCATCAACACAAAACATGAGACTTTAATGGGAAGGAACTTTCATACAATTAGGAAACAATACAGGAAAGGCAAAGAACATAGTTTCTAAATCAAGCACCCAAAGTTACCTGTCCCCTCATGGGTAAAAGTCCACCCAAGGCGCAGGTGGTTGAACGCGGTGCTGTGGGGCTGTCTGCAGCCTCTGCAGCACTGGTTCGATCCCGGCCGGCCGGCGAGGGTCCTACATGGCATGGCAGACCTCTCTTGTCGTGCCCGCTGCTCCCCTCAGCAGTGTATTTCAGTCAGTCTGCCCGTTCTGCTCCCCGCTCTGTCTCTGGTGAATCCTCTCACCCTGCCGCACATCTGGCCTGTACCCCAGCTCTTGTGTAAATAAATAAATAAAAATTTAAAAAAAAGTCCACCCAAGCAGGATTGGCCCAGAACAAGGTCCCAAAGCCTGTCACAAGTCTAAAGCATCTTCTAGTGGGGACCCACAGAAAAGGATCAGAAACCACCAGACAAGTCTGGAGGGAAAAGAGCAAAATCAAAATCAAGACAAAAACCGCCATGGTCACCTCCCCACAGGTCTCTCACCCACATCTGTGTCACCCAGTCCATGACCGAAAGCCAAGCGCAGTTTCTTCACGTGTCTCTCTGCTCCATGTGCCTCCTCCAGGTCTCCTCTGTCTCTCCATCCTGCTTCCTTCCTCAGTCTCCTCCGAAGTTTCTTCTCTCCCTGCTCAGCTCCACCCTCCTTTGGGTGGGGCAGGAAACCTGGAACCTCCCCCTTTCCTGGGGACCACCCTGTTACAATGGTACTTATCACAAGTTGTAGGTATATATATATATATATATATATATATATATATATATATATATATATATATATAATATATATATTTAAATATATATATATATTTAATGTTGTGTCAGGCAACACCACATTGATAAAGAAACGGGAGTCATGGAGCAGGCTACATAATGCAGGATGCTGCTGAAGAGCAAGATCCTGGCCTTTTCATCTGGTAGAAAATTATACAGTATCAGTTGTGAGAGGAAGGAGGACAAAGAGAAAAGGGAGGGGTAAAACTAGAAAATGCGCTCCCTCATCAAGTATCAGGGGGTGTGAGTCAGCCCTCCAGGCACTTCTCATCTGCTTGAATGACTTGATATTGTAATTGAGATCAAGCTCTGATCCCCAGCCATAGTTTTCAGTCTTATCAACAAGGCTTTCCACTGATCAGCTTCTGGGACCCTTGTCATACACTGGTCCTCAGCACCCCGGGCATTCCTGGTCGTACCTGGTGATGCATAGCCTTCCCAGAGTGATCAAGCTTTAAGCTCTTGGTTGATTTGAAAGGCGCCTTGTAAAGTTTGGCTCTGACAGATTGACTGGGCAGTTCTGACCTTGTATAGGAATGTGGAACTGCAGGTAACAAAACAGTGGCCAAACAGGCCGTTTAGGATTAGCAGACCCACAATTTAATGTCTGTCTACCTCACTGGGCTATAAGCTTAGATGAAAACAGGGACCAAGTCTTACTTATCTTTGTATCTCTAGTGCCTAGAATAGTAGTAGTACCTGGCTCATAGAAAGTGCTCAATATTTGATGAATGAATAAATGAGTAAAAGAATATAAATATAAAAAGGTTTTTACAAAAAGCATGCTGATAATCTTCTATATGTGATCTGGAACACAATAAAGTATGAGATAGACATAAGAAAATGTCTTGACCAAAATTTTCTCAAATCCTGGAATGCTTTCGAGTAATAGCATCTCATTTCTTAAATGCAGCAAACAAGAGACTTCTAGGTACTGGATGTAAAATAGGTGTGTTCCCACATGAACTAACTGTCTTTAAGTTGCCTTCTAGAATTACAGGATTCTGAGAAGTATAATTTACAAACTGTAACAGGGTGGTCCCCAGAAAAGGGGGAGGTTCCCTGCCCCTCCCAAGGGAGGGTGGAGCTGAGCAGGAAGAGGAGAAGCTGCAGAAGAGACTGAGGAAAGAAGCAGGATGGAGCCAGGAGACCTGGAGGAGGCGCGTGGAGCCTAGAGACACGTGAAGAAACTGCGCTTGTCTTTTGGTCGTGGACTGGGTGACACAGATGTGGGTGAGACCCGTGGGGAGGTGACAATGGCAGCTTTTATCTTGATGTTGATTTTGCTCTTTTCCTTCTGGGCTTGTCTGATTGTTTCTGACCCTTTGCTGTGGGTCCCCACTGGAAGGTGCTTTAGACTCATGGCAGGCTTTGGGGCCTCGCTCTGGGCCAATCCCATTTGGATGGACTTTTACCCACGAGGGGACGGGTAACTTTGGGTGCTTCACTTAGAAACTAGACTCTTTGCCTTACCTGTATTGTTTCCTAGTTTTATTAAAGTTCCTTCCCATTAAAGTCTCCTATGTTTTGTGTTGATGCGGCGGATGGCAGAACCCATTTAGAATAGGCAGGTTTGTGGGGTTTGGGCTGCCCCTCTCCCTGTCCTATAACAAAACCACTAATCTTGGGAGTATTCATTGATTTCTTAATTTGATGAAAATATATTGAATACTTCCTCTGTGCTAGGTATTGTATTACATGTATGCACTCAGCATGGATTCACACTTGTTATTCTCAAGAGGCCTGCATATTAATAGGGGCCTTCACTTCAGAACTATAAATGCTTTAAGTGAACATCCTTTCTTGCCCCCAGGACTAGGCCCCAACATCTTTCGGACTAACAACAAATTGGCCCATGTGCCTGTCAAGGTTCTCTGAGAAACAGATACCAAGATGAGATTAAATGTCCAAGAGAGAAGGGGGGGGGCAGTAAAGACTTGGAGATCTAACAGGTGACAATTTAAGTCCGATCTCAAGTAAAGGAGAGAGAATGAGTCCTGTGAAATATCCTAGGCCACTGAGCTGTCTAAAGGTTTTGTAAGTTAGCCATCAGAGGAGTCCTATGTTTCCCAGGAGTGGACTTCTTTAAAATTCCCTGCCATACTTAGTTGGGATGGCCTGTGCATAGTATGACTTGGGAGCAAGTGCTGTGATGGATTTCAGAGCATGGCAGCTGGGGCCCTTGTTCAGTTATGCTCATTGCAGTTAAGAGGGTCTATAAGTCTCATTCTCATGGTTGCCATGGCCCACGATGAAGTTATGATGACTATGCAGACCACAAATTTTGACTTGAAGGTTGTATCATGAATAGTTTCCCAGGGAGAACATTAGAAGTTCACTTTTATAGAAAACAACCAAAAGAAATGGCACAGTATATGAAATTGATTACTAGGTTGTTAGTGGGAGAAACACTCAAGCTTAACCCTTCTGGCTTATGTATTTGCTGAATCTATGCAAACATGTGCTTACAGTTTCATTGTAGAGATGTTTGTTTTTATTGACTTTATAAAGAAAGTGCTAATTTGATAAAGGGCATTGCCATAGTCGGGACTGGTTTGTAACGTTTCCCTTCAAGTTTTCTCATATATAGCCTTCCAAACCTCAAGCCTCAATTAGATAGCTTCTAGTAAATCCATAGCAATGACTTCAAGGGAGAATGGGGTTCTGTTTTCTTTATTTTCCTTTCAGTCTGTTCCAATCAGGGTATGCTAGATTATGATGCAGTAAGAAATGACCTAAAAATTTATGGTGGCTTGAATTGGCAGAAATTTATTTTCCCTCATACTCATTGCATATTACCTGGGACATTTCTCCATGCCATCCTAATTCTGGGTGCTGTAATAGGGTGGTCCCCTGGAAAAAGGGAGTTCCAGTTTCCCTGCCCTACCCAAGGGAGGGTGGAGCTGAGCAGAGAGAAGAGAAGCTGGAGAAGAGAGTGGGAAGGAAGGAGGAATGATGGGGAGCCAGAAGGAGCCCTGGAGGAGGCACATGGAGCAGAGAGACATGTGAAGAAACTGCGCTTGCTTTTTGGTCCTTGAATGGTTGAA